GGCAACTGTCGCGTGTACGAAACACGACTCCGGGGATGTGGAACACCCCCTTTTTGGTTCAGTGTTGGGGCACTAACGCTCTCAAATCCTCTATCTACCACATGGCGGATTTTACCCAGGTTTGGGCCACTAGGAAGCGTAATACCCTACGTCCTGCAAACTTTTATTCAGTGGGAGTGATGAACTGGATGTTACAACGGTGAACCTTCCTTGCTGGGGCAGGGAAAGTTCACTCGCGCATATCAAAATAGAGTCGAACCCCTCTACGTAGCCTGGGCCTCCTTTTAGTCACAAGGGGTCACCACAGTGGCTACAGGGTTGTGGGTACAGTAGATGTACAGAGGAATACTTATCGCATTAAATGCGGGGGTATGTGTCTTCGTATCCCGTTGCTGGAGTTGAACACCTGTCTTGTCGTAGCAGGCTTTTGCTGGCGCATCCCTTTTACCGCGACACGTTGCTGATGAGGTGTTGCCCGTACGGTAAAAGAGGGCAGTGAATCACCTTGGGTGCACCTAACACTTTGGAGGCGCGTGCTCCGCTTGACAGCTTGCCATGCACCGCCATGGACCACAACAGGCCTATGCTTAGCCTCTTCGCTGTAGCCCTGCGCCGTTTAGATGCTGGTTGGTCGTCGACGGGCGGAAGCTGTTGGCGCTGAGGGAGCCGTTGCCGAGAGGCAATGCTCTTCCACGGCAATCTTTGCCATGACATTGTCGATGGTGTCAGAGGACTCTTCCTCAAGTGTGATGGTCTTGTGGGTGAGTGTCTGGACAAAGATCAGCATACCACCACGTTGCCGGGAGGCAGTATGGAAGGACAGACTCCTTCTGGATGTTGTAGTCAGCAAGAGTGCGACCATCCTCGAGCTATGTGCCGGCAGTGAGGTGATCACCCATTCCTTTGATGTAGGTTTCCTGTGTTGCATCTGGACGAAGATCTGCATGCCACCTTTGAAGGGGCCTGGACGAGCGTTGTCGGGAAGCATAAGTCCCCACAAAAAAGCCTCATTTCTAGACGTGGCATGTTTATGTGGGTTGGAACATGGATTTTAATCCAGCCAAGCAGGTTGTCTTTCCCTTCCTCATAAGTGGTGGTTTGGTCGGCTGTAAGGCCAAGAGCGTCTACAGCTTGCTTTAGTATAAGGCGCACATGAATGGCAAACAAACCAAGAATGTGAAATCACACAGAAACATGTAGCAATGAAACCTCACTGAGGGGCACAGATGGACAAAATGCTCCTCCTCCATCAAATAAGAAGCCTCGATGCCAACATAGAAATGTAGTGCTAGCCCTATGCTGTGAAACCGCTCCTTTCCTGGCAACTGTCATCCACTAGATCTGCCGCACCGATAGGAAAGAAATCAATTAGCCGATACGAAAAGCACAAACCAAAATAGAGGATAAAGAATGTCATCCTGATCTCGTCCGACAAAAACTGGACTTGCCTTAGTTGCATTTCCTTTTCATGTGTTCCTTCACAAGGTTTACATAGCCTACAACATGAAACCACGCACCGTTAACCAGCGAACCACAATCTCAAGCAACGAATCACGGATTTTTTTGTAACGTGATCTAAACCAAAGGGACTCGGGCAGAAAACGAAATAGACAAGAAAGATTGGGAAGCAAGGCTAGAGAACAGACTAGAAAAGAAGCAGCTCACCTCAAGCAACAATATAGGCACCCAACAACGACAAGAAGTAGCTCGTAAGACCTGAAAGAAAGAACGGAAAGAAAGAGCACAGCTAGGCAAGAAAAGAGACCGGGAAGAGGAATGAGGAAGAACCTCAGCTAGCAGCAAGGACGAAGGCCATAAACAAAGCATGAAGACACATGCGGATAGCAGGTATGAGGTCGATTAGCACCTAGCGGACCAAAGCGAGGGACGGGCATGGTGAAGCGTAAAGTGGCGGTGACGAAGGGATAGAGAAAGAAGGAGAGGAAAAGCAAATACAAAAGGAGACAAGATAAAGACAACCGCAGCACAAAGGCGAATGAACTGACAAAACCCATCACACGAAGTCACACACGTGGACACGAGCCCAAAAACAGCCAAAGACCAGGTGATGAAAGCCATGTAAAAAAGCGACACCGCACAGTACAAAGCAAAGGGGAGCACTTGCTTTTACCCAGCGGAG